GTTCCCAAGTCTTTCGACTGATGATCGGACGGCAAGATTTAGTTGAATCTTGACGCCTAACCWTTCCCGATGACTTGACTCCTTTCACAAGACAAAGATAGACCAAAATCCAAGCCAAGAGAAGACTGAGTGTAACTTCCCAACCCATGGATCCAAGGTGCTCCAGCCCATCACTGATCCGAAGAATCTTGTTACTATAAAGGACATTTACTAATAAACATTACGGATTATATAAACGCGCACACACACACACACACACACAAAAATTAACACACAGAGACCTGAAAACAAAGTTTTAAAGAAGACGGCAGAAGTTACGGCGGTGAGAGACTTACTTGAAGAATTCCTCTGCAGGCGATTTCCATTCAGGCGTACAATTCTGTGCGAGTCCAAGAGCAGTACAGTTGATTGTACTATTGCTGCTTTGCCTCATAGTTCTGGTGAAAGAAAAATAAGTTAGAAAAATAAGTTGCTTTTCTATCAGTTTATGACAAACATACGTAAAAGTCCCCTTCACAGTTCCCTGCGCTATCTTGAAAGGTAACCGTGCCTTTGAATGGAAGCGAGACGAACGGTGAGCTTGCAATGATAGAAACAAGTGAATAATTGTCAAAGGTGTTAAAAAAGGCCTCTATCATTGCAAACTCGCCTCGCTTCGGTACAAAGGTACCGCTACCTTTCAATGCAGGGAACTGTGAAAGGGACTATTCAGGGAATCCACATTTATGGATCGAAACCAAATAAGATGATATATTGTTTATAGGGTACTCAATTATTAGAAGTGGAGGGGTGACGGAGTAATTAAGAGAGGGTCATAYTAATATTTATTTGCGCAAAGAGATGACAAACTATACTATTATTAGATATTAAGATAAATGAATTAAAGCAAAAGAATAGACCTAATCGGCTAACGTGTTGCTATGTACGTTACCACCCAATTCAAACCTTCTGGGAATAGAAGCGTTTGTCTCTACGAATTCAACTGTGAAACCAAAATATTACGAACAATTAAACTTAGTCCCATGTGGTTTGAATTAGGTGGAAACGTTTATAGCAACACGTTAGCCATCTAAAAGTAGCAAAAGCTAATCTAGTTAGAAAAGACAAGTAAGATTTTAGACGACCACCAGGAAATGTCATTAGTATTTTCTTTCATTCCAAAGTATATTTCCCTTTCTCAAGGAGATTTTTTTGAAAATTCAATAGTGAAGCTTTTTCCAACTTACCTACAAACAGGTGTATTCCATGCATTATCACATGTTTTCCAGGGTATTTCGGCACGAAAAGAGTTGATAAGAAATAAAATACACCAAGCAATGATGATGTTATAATAGATAGAAACCAAGAATGATAACATTATCATAGCGAAACCAATCCCTGTGGAACAAATAACCACTAACATTAGAACTGAAAAGATCTGCACAGGCAAACATCCAATCAGATTGAGGCCTACCACGTGACATGGGGCAGATAGCTGTCCAGGCTCCCACGGTACCAAGACTGAGATATTGACCAATAGCAAGCTCCATGTAGAACAATGGAATACCATTGATGGCCAACATCAGAAAGTAAGGAATGAGAAAGGTTGCTGAAAAGAAAGGAAAACAAATATGCTAGTACGTTACCGTGGTTGGTCAAATAACTCTGGGAAGTTAGTGAAAAGGCTATTCGAAATAARCAGATATTCTAAATGAATTTTTAACACCTATGACTGAACAACAATTCGGCCCGTATCTCTGTCATTTGCAAGGTCGTCGCCGTCACTCGCGGGTGCACAGGAACGGCTACCTTTGAAGATGAAGGAAGGAAGGAAGGAAGGAAGGAAGGAAGGAAGGAAGGAAGGAATGAATGAACTTTATTTATCCACGGTTAACGACTCAGTTACACTGCTTTTCAGGTGTGCCGTCCTAAAATTTAAGCAATAAATACAAATAAAGAATACAAAACTATCTATTTATATATGTAATAATATATAATCATATATGCTGGTGAAGTCATTAAACCCGTGAAATAGATATTACACCATTACACTTTAGTAGACCATAATTCCATCGTTTTCTTTTGTGTCTATTTGACTATTACACGTTGACTAACTTTTTTCAAGTTTATTTCACGGGTTAAATGCCTTAACTCTATCTACTTATACTAATATCTACCTACCTATCTATCTACCTATGCTAATAGTGTATCCTAATTACGTCTAAAAATGTAAGATAAACGTGTTCATTTATAGAACTAATTATTTAAGGGTGCTATTGCATGTTTTTCGCTGCAGAGCTCTTTTGAAGGATTTCAAAGTATCGAGCTCTCGCAATTCGCTCTCGCATGACGCGGGAAACTATGAGGAAGACTATTTGTTATAAATAGAGTGAGCGATTATGATCATGAGTGATTGCTCAGGAAAGCTATATACATCTACTTGCAAAAACGTTGTCATACGACATTAGAACATTAGAGTGCAAACAATTAATCCGTAAAACACTGTTTACTAAATAGTCCAAAATAGTGCTGATTAAACAATAGAAAACAATGGAATTTGCATGAAATTGTGCTATTTGGTATTACTAAAGTTTCACGGATTTACTGTGGTCACTCTAGTACTTTAGTGAGAAAGGAATACATTAAAAGACGAAAGAAAAAGTTCAGCTTCAGTGATCTTCTTTTGTTTTTTAATACRATTCCTATAGTAAATCACTAATGTTCTATTTTTTAACGTATGACAACGTTCTTGCAAGTAGGTGGACATGAATACTACTACCTAGGGCCGCTATTGTACCTCAGACGACTTATTTGTACATCGATCAACGAATCATAGCCAGCGCTAACAATTCTAACACGCGTTAGGGGTTCTTAAAACACTGGCTCGCTTCATAACAAAATAAGTTTGAATAAAGTGAATTGTTTCCTGAGTTTTACCATAAACATGTTGTACCATGCATTTAGAAAATAACGATTATAATAATCTCAACAACCAGAAAGGCAATGATAATCTCGATACTTTCAGTTGATTGAAATCGCAAGAATGGTGAAAGATTAAACCGTTGATTAACACATAAAAGCTGATGTAAGTACAGACTTACATCAGTAAGTACTTTTGCAGCGTCGAATTAAGATTTGAGGCAAGCACGCTGAATAATTAGTTGAGAACTGCTGCATAATCAGCTCTTTTGTTTAAGCCTCCCGAGACCACATGGTAGTTAGAATTCTACATACTAAACCAAATTTTTTCGCAACTTCGCAGGTAATGAATATAGTTCCGAAGTTCCGAAGTTGGTCGCCAACTTGGGAATTTTGGAACATAGTTCGGGAAGTGTAAACTAGTGTGAATCCGAAATAGGCAGATGTTAGTGGCGCTCTTTGTCGTGGTTTCACTTTTTTTTCCTTTCATGTGTATACATATGCATAAACTAGAGGAAAAACGACACTCTAGTTTCATCCGTGCATAACTTGGGAAGAAAAATTGAGAGACAATTGTAATGAATTCGAGAGAAATGCATTTTTGAAGACCAAGATTTAGACTGCAAGCGTTTCCACTTAAATTTCCTTTAGAGTTAAGCTTAGACACGATGGTCTACGAGGTTAAGATCACTATACCCTTCCGCAGCACGACAATTCTATGAATATGAATATCTTCAAGATCAAGTTGAAAATACATAGGAATCAACGAGTACGACGTACGTACCTCCTCCATTATTGAAACACAGATACGGGAAGCGCCATACGTTGCCAATACCAACAGCATACCCGACACACGACAACATGAAGTCGAATTTATGCCCCCATTTTTCGCGAACAGCTACGACTTCTGTGTCACATATCGAGAGATCTTTCATCTCTAAAGATTCTGCTTGTTCTGTCGCTTTCGTGGTGTCTAGAAGCTGTTCTTTTTGCTCATGTTGGGGTGTATCAAGCTTATTTGTACTATCATCCATGTTGAACGGTTCAATCGTGCTATTGTACTTCAATCGACTCGGATGAGCGAGGAAGTGTTTCTAGCTCCTAGGGTAGCTGCAATTGTGCCAGTCGTACAAAGACCGCCTTGGCAATGAGCCGTATGGAGATATTTAAACATGATGGCCGCGCGGTCGAACACTGAACTCCACACATTCCTTCATATGGACTAACTTCAATGTCAAAATGGCGAGACTTTTTWAAAATAATTTCACAAATATTTGACCATTTCTAGATATCCAAATAACAAAAATATTGAAATCCGAGTGTACATTGTCATTCGACTTGAATTTTGCTTGAAAATTTGCCAACTGTGCTACAATTTAGGGGTGAAATTTGGAAGTCTAGGGTCAAATTTCAAACGTCCCAAATATTTTGCCATGGTCAAAGATACAAAAAATAGGAGAAAAAACTATGCTTTATTAGTGAATTATTTATTATTTATTATTATTAACGAAGCACAGTGCTGACCGCGCCATCTGCACGCGCGAAGTGCTGCTAGATCCTGATGCGACATGCAGTCTTTCCTTTCGCGTAAATAAATTTAATACCGAAAAATATAGTAGTAAGACATACTCCAGGAAGCGCCGTAAGCACTCAAT